CGTGTACACATTTTAGTTAAAGTTAAACAATTATTAATTCACTAAAAGGTTGGTTGCAGAGAAGTTAAAAGAAAAATAAATAAGTGTAAGAAAATGCATTTACTATGAATTCTGACAGAATGATGTTTACCCTTTTTGTCTGCCATTTTAGGTGTTTCAGCCAAAAGAGTCCCCAGGCAACCAGAGCACCTTAAGAAAGGTTCTGGGGTAGACAGCTGTACTACGGATGATACTTTTAGTGTTTGAATCTACTCTAATTTCCACAATTAACACTGCTGAAACAATAAAGAGAGCTCTACTTTTTAACTGGATTTAGTTGAATAAACATTATCACTGTTCTGCTAAATCTAACTTTTAAAACATTATTAAACTCACCTGTACTTACCTGCTCTATGGAGAGTGGGAGTGTCCAATCAAGGGAGGTGCTCTATAAAAGGAGCCAGCCTCAGTTTGTCAAATGTTCAGGTGCTGTGTGGACAGGCTGTTTGTTGCGATGCTGGTTTTAAACTTTGCCCTTGGCTTTTTTTTTTTTTTTTTGGTAAATATATTTCTTTTTGTTGATGAAGAATGACTGTACATGGGTCTGCAATGGACAAGTCATCTCAGCACTGCTCTCTTCCTCTTCAAACCCAATAAGGTCGCTATCCGGGCTATTACAGGTAAAATAATATTATATGGCTTGAAGCTCACAAGAGTCAATTTAGTGGAAAATGGAACCTTTAACTGAATTGTGATGAATGCTTATAACTTATTTGTTCAGCAAGTTATACGCTACTGTTTTCAATCTGACATCAGTCTTTTTTAACAGGCCTATGCTACTTATGTTATTTTCTGATCTGTTATGTTGTTTCCTCATCACAAACATACCCAGATTTATTTTGTTTTCATTTCATTCACACATGTTTAACATACAAACCCTGCATATTTAGTCTGAGTTTTTCTCTCAATACACCATAACAGGATTGCTCAAACATTGCGAATGAAACAAAACACAACTCTAAGTACGTTTTTGAGGTAACAATAATTCTAACATGACTTAAAGCTCACAAGAGACAATTGCTCGTAATATAGGACCTTTTTAAACAAACTGTCAATTTAGCGCGTGCATATGCTGCCCAAAGACCAGCCTGTTGTCTCACTCTTGCACATTGTGAGCTCTTTAGATATAAAAGAAAGTTCTCCATTTATTGCTTTGCTAAGCCAACTCTACGAACTATACAATAACACTGTCAACCTCCCTGAGCTATTAAAGCCTTGGCCAGTGTCATTTATTTTTATTGGTAATAATGAGAGATTATTAAGCCAAACTTTTAAAAAACGTAGTGTGTTTTGCAGTATTAAAGCTGTTAAAAAGTCTTACTTTGCTTCTGGCTAAATGAATATTTTAGTTAAGATAAATAGCGGGTGGTCGTGCGGGAAAGGTGTGCTTGATAGCTCCAGCCTCCATTGCTTTAACTAACTTTTGATGATTCTGAGTTGACTAGATATTCCCAAAGCAACACATCTATATTAAGGTAAGTTTTATATTGTTTTTATTATTAGGTTTATCTTAAATAATACTCTTATTAGAGAATTATTGAACTGTACCACGAGACTGTAGTATGGAGATGACTGATGAGGTCCCTATTTACCCGGGACAGTCCCAATTTTGAGCCCTGTGTCCCCTGTCCCTTCAGATTTATTATTTATATAGGGTTATCCATTACATAAGAGTGAGTTGTACAGTTGTAGGGAGTATTATCTGTTCCATAAAGGTGAGTTGTTGTACAGTTGTAGGGAGTATTATCTGTTCCATAAAGGTGAGTTGTTGTACAGTTGTAGGGAGTATTATCTGTTTCATAAAGGTGAGTTGTTGTACAGTTGTAGGGAGTATTATCTGTTCATAAAGGTGAGTTGTTCTACAGTTGTAGGGAGTATTATCTGTTCCATAAAGGTGAGTTGTTGTACAGTTGTAGGGAGTATTATCTGTTCCATAAAGGTGAGTTGTTGTACAGTTGTAGGGAGTATTATCTGTTCCATAAAGGTGAGTTGTTGTACAGTTGTAGGGAGTATTATCTGTTACATAAAGGTGAGTTGTTGTACAGTTGTAGGGAGTATTATCTGTTCCATAAAGGTGAGTTGTTGTACAGTTGTAGGGAGTATTATCTGTTCCATAAAGGTGAGTTGTTGTACAGTTGTAGGGAGTATTATCTGTTACATAAAGGTGAGTTGTTGTACAGTTGTAGGGAGTATTATCTGTTACATAAAGGTGAGTTGTTGTACAGTTGTAGGGAGTATTATCTGTTCCATAAAGGTGAGTTGTTGTGCAGTTGTAGGGAGTATTATCTGTTCCATGAAGGTGAGTTGTTGTGCAGTTGTAGGAGTATTATCTGTTACATAAAAGGTGAGTTGTTGTACAGTTGTAGGGAGTATTATCTGTTCCATAAAGGTGAGTTGTTGTACAGTTGTAGGGAGTATTATCTGTTACATAAAGGTGAGTTGTTGTACAGTTGTAGGGAGTATTATCTGTTACATAAAGGTGAGTTGTTGTACAGTTGTAGGGAGTATTATCTGTTCCATAAAGGTGAGTTGTTGTACAGTTGTAGGGAGTATTATCTGTTCCATAAAGGTGAGTAGTTTGTACAGTTGTAGGGAGTATTATCTGTTCCATAAAGGTGAGTTGTTGTACAGTTGTAGGGAGTATTATCTGTTCCATAAAGGTGAGTTGTTGTACAGTTGTAGGGAGTATTATCTGTTCCATAAAGGTGAGTTGTTGTACAGTTGTAGGGAGTATTATCTGTTCCATAAAGGTGAGTTGTTGTACAGTTGTAGGGAGTATTATCTGTTACATAAAAGTGAGTTGTTGTACAGTTGTAGGGAGTATTATCTGTTACATAAAGGTGAGTTGTTGTACAGTTGTAGGGAGTATTATCTGTTCCATAAAGGTGAGTTGTTGTACAGTTGTAGGGAGTATTATCTGTTCCATAAAGGTGAGTTGTTGTACAGTTGTAGGGAGTATTATCTGTTCCATAAAGGTGAGTTGTTGTACAGTTGTAGGGAGTATTATTATCTGTTCCATAAAGGTGAGTTGTTGTACAGTTGTAGGGAGTATTATCTGTTCCATAAAGGTGAGTTGTTGTACAGTTGTAGGGAGTATTATCTGTTCCATAAAAGCGAGTTGTTGTACAGTTGTAGGGAGTATTATCTGTTCCATAAAGGTGAGTTGTTGTACAGTTGTAGGGAGTATTATCTGTTACATAAAGGTGAGTTGTTGTACAGTTGTAGGGAGTATTATCTGTTACATAAGGTGAGTTGTTGTACAGTTGTAGGGAGTATTATCTGTTCCATAAAGGTGAGTTGTTGTACAGTTGTAGGGAGTATTATCTGTTCCATAAAGGTGAGTTGTTGTACAGTTGTAGGGAGTATTATCTGTTCATAAGGGTGAGTTGTTGTACAGTTGTAGGGAGTATTATCTGTTCCATAAAGGTGAGTTGTTGTACAGTTGTAGGGAGTATTATCTGTTCCATAAAGGTGAGTTGTTGTACAGTTGTAGGGAGTATTATCTGTTACATAAAGGTGAGTTGTTGTACAGTTGTAGGGAGTATTATCTGTTCCATAAAGGTGAGTTGTTGTACAGTTGTAGGGAGTATTATCTGTTCCATAAAGGTGAGTTGTTGTACAGTTGTAGGGAGTATTATCTGTTCCATAAAGGTGAGTAGTTGTACAGTTGTAGGGAGTATTATCTGTTCCATAAAGGTGAGTAGTTGTACAGTTGTAGGGAGTATTATCTGTTCCATAAAGGTGAGTTGTTGTGCAGTTGTAGGGAGTATTATCTGTTACATAAAGGTGAGTTGTTGTACAGTTGTAGGGAGTATTATCTGTTCCATAAAGGTGAGTTGTTGTACAGTTGTAGGGAGTATTATCTGTTTCCATAAAGGTGAGTTGTTGTGCAGTTGTAGGGAGTATTATCTGTTACATAAAGGTGAGTTGTTGTACAGTTGTAGGGAGTATTATCTGTTCCATAAAGGTGAGTAGTTGTACAGTTGTAGGGAGTATTATCTGTTCCATAAAGGTGAGTTGTTGTACAGTTGTAGGGAGTATTATCTGTTACATAAAGGTGAGTTGTTGTACAGTTGTAGGGAGTATTATCTGTTACATAAAGGTGAGTTGTTGTACAGTTGTAGGGAGTATTATCTGTTCCATAAAGGTGAGTAGTTGTACAGTTGTAGGGAGTATTATCTGTTCCATAAAGGTGAGTTGTTGTACAGTTGTAGGGAGTATTATCTGTTCCATAAAGGTGAGTAGTTGTACAGTTGTAGGGAGTATTATCTGTTCCATAAAGGTGAGTTGTTGTACAGTTGGAGTATTATCTGTTCCATAAAGGTGAGTAGTTGTACAGTTGTAGGGAGTATTATCTGTTCCATAAAGGTGAGTTGTTGTACAGTTGTAGGGAGTATTATCTGTTCCATAAAGGTGAGTTGATGTACATCTGTACAGAGTATGGCGTGAATGTAGTCCCGTATCTCTGTTTGATGGCACTATCAGACAGCATGACCTCGAGTCGACCTGACTCCATTTTACGCTTGAATCGAGTTATTCAGACATTATTCAGATCATATTTATGTTCCCTGTCTTTTGGCTTGTATCGTTGTGCCCAATTAAGCACTTCTTTTAGCCAAGCTTGTTTATTTAGTAGTAAGCTATCCGGTGTCGGCGGTCTGTGTCCCCTTCTCCAAGCTTTGGGGATTAAACAGCTTATTTTCTCTGGGGGTGTTGATGGTTTTCTAACGTACTGAGCTATTCAGACCGGTCTGCTTTTGTCCGCAGGCTCACTGGGCTTAACTCTGTTTTGATAAGCCGCTGTGAATATCCATCAAGACGTGCGACCAGCCCACGGGATTGTGGAGCGGAGGACCGTCTAGTCTCCCCTCGTCCCCCTTCTCTCTCTCCAAAGCCGTGGTCTGTATACGTTACATTTCCTGCCTCTCTCCACTCGCTTGCTTTCATGCAGGCGGACGTCCACAGCGCGGCGACACGAGTGCGCACAACACGCTGGAGCAGCAAGGCACGGCAGCGGCAGGAGGCGGACGGCAGCTGGTAGTACCGGGCGACGCGGCGCTGTGTCTTTGTGTGGAACCAGGAGGCTGCACGGTGGATGTGTTTATTCTACAAATCTGGACCAGGGTCTAGCTGGGATAACTTCGCTTCGGACAAAACCCGCCTTCTTTCATGTCATCCACCTATTTGTTTGGGCCGGCGTGTTGACGCCAGAGGAAGGAGACAGGGGTGATCCGAGCGCGGCTGGATGAGCGAGCATTGACAGGAGAGGCGACATGAATTCACACGCGTCCGTATGACAGTATAGACGCAACGAAGAGAGCTCGTATTTATCGCGCGTGATTTCAGGAGATGATCCATGCAGCAACGTGGGCAAACGGAGCCGAGGATGAGATGCTGTGGTGTTGGTGCACGATAGAGATTTTGCACCACAGAGCTTTTACGTGTTACTGACGGTTCGCGCACCGTTGAAATATGTATCTAGACACAACTTTGGTCCCAGCCAGGCCTGATTCGCTGACCGACTGTGAAATACGTGGTGATCGTTCATAAATCTGTGTGCCATAGCAGATCGCGCGATGTACCCTTCTAAAGCTCCAGTGGTTTAACATATGATCCCCGAGTCTTGTATAATTTACACTTCAAAGACTGCAGTGTTATTAATGGCATTTAGTGCAATTAAAAGCTCAGAGCTGTGAGTTACCAATGCGTGCTAACGTGTAAACAGGCCTATTCTTTGCGTATGTACATCCTGCTGATAGTGAGATAGTGACTGCTCTGGCAGACTGTTCGTGCCACTCGGAGTGTCACGGGGGTGTGTTTCAAATCCAGCACATCTACTATTTACTTATGTCAACGCTGCGGAGGTGCTGCACAGTGGAGAGGACACTGTCATAACACCGACCATTCTCGCCTTCTTCTCCGGTTGCCCCAACTAAAAGTTTCAATGGTTTTCCGAAAGTTGCCCGGTGTTTCGGCATCGGGCATGGGTCTGCGTCTGTCCCAGAAGTTTGTCTTTCTACTTTTTCTTTCGGGGTTAGTAACGCTGTGTTTTGGGGCTCTCTTCTTTCTACCGGACTCTGTGCGACTAAAGCGCATTTTTTTGTCAAAGACCGAGACCCAGCCCGTTACCGTTGGCTCCGGGTCCGAGAATGACGCCAGAGAACACTTAAAAAGACCCAAAGACCAAGGCATGACCCCGGCGAAAGGAGAAACGAGCAGCACCAAGCTAAAGAATCTAAGTCGCAAGCCTTCCGTGTCTCGGGAGGGGACCGAGGAGCGACTGGCCGGCGGTAAACCGCAGGAGGACATGACTCTGCCCAAGTCCAGGACGGAGGCAGCGACCTCATCAGAGCATGGTACAGACATGGATACTTTCAGTTACAACAAGTTCAGAAGATGTCTGCTTAAAGCGCCCCTGGGCAGAGATAACGGCAAACCTACCGACCCACAGACCAACGAGAGGCGGGAGAAAGTTAAAGAGGTAAGTGCAGTACTGTACACTACAGGGGCTCATGGCCGTGGGGGACTTTGGATTGTTAAGAGTTTATGTGAAAATGATGCAGAAAAAAAGTTTTGCTACAAACTCTTAAAATATGATGTAACAGCAAAGTTTTAAATATAAAAATTCTAGCCCCTTGAGTGAAGGATCTTTATTGTAGGCTACTTGTGTCCTGATGCTCCGTATATATAGTATATATAGTTATTGAAATATCTTGATAAAAACAGTCGTCAGTTGATGAGTTACAGTTGAAAAATAAGATGCAAATCGGTAACACCTCACCCAGGCACCACTGTCTGTAATGTAGTGTCTAATGTAGTGTCCTCTGTGATAGTGGGAGGCAGCTCTCGGAGCTGTGAGCTTTTGTTGAGTCCTGTGGGTCCAATGAGCAGTCCAGAGTGGCAGAGTATGTGGATCACACATCTGTACACACTCAAGGGAGTGAGGCTGAGTGGGGGCGGGGCCAAATGGCCTGTTTATGTGGCTCTTAGGCTTGGCATGTGATGCAGATCAGTCCTGTTGTCACTTCTCTCGCTGCTGCTTGTGCTTTTAGACCTGGAGGTGATGTGCTTCATGATAGTGAGGTGTCAGAGGACCACTGGGTTATGTGCTCGCTCTGCTCACTTCTCACTCTCTCTTTGCTTCTCTTTTGATGCTCTTTCAACTCAAAGTCAATGTGACTTTGCCTGGCTGCTCTTTTTAGCTGAGCTCTGCAAAGTTCTATGCCTCAGGGTCATAGGCGTGGAGAAAGTTATATTTCACTACACCCTTCTTGCCCAATTATGTTGGGCAATATTAATGGTGTTTCGCAAATGCACACTTTGAGGGTGTAGGTGTGTCGGTGTCTTCTCCTTTCAGCCCCTGCATGTCCATACATCCTCTTTCATGGCATGTGCACTGGCATGTGTGGCTGTTGTAGTGTTACTTGTCACTGTGTCTAATTTTCTGGCAGTATTCCAGGTGGCTTCTGTGCTTCCTTGAGGCCCACCTTTGTAGGCCCACCCAGACTCTCCTGCCCCCATTTTGACCTGAGCGGGCAAACAAGCTTTTTAAAGTACACAAATTTAGAATATGACCTGGTTGGGCTAACCTGTCTTGAACATTTATTCCTTGTGTGAAGCGTGAGGTTGTCTTTGGGGGATTGCGAGTTGCCCTCGCTTGAGTTACACCTGTGTTACATTGTGTGCACATATTTCATTCCAGAGTCAGTCAATGCAAAAGAGGGTTTCTTTTCAAAGTCAACAAAGCACGTCTGACCTAGCCCATTGAGTGCTTCACTGCCCGGGCTGTGAATGGGCATCATTTTCCCAACAGCCACCTACTAGAAAGCAGACTCCCCACTTACCTCCCGCCAAGACAGAGCCAGAGTAAAGGGACACGCTTTTGAAAAGAGCCCACTGCTAGCTACGCTGCAAGACACAAACAATTCACTCCGAGTCATTCTAGGCAAGTTTCAGCAATTCTGGATGACAGTCACTCTGTGCCATATATTATGTATTCTGTGATGTAATGCCTCTGTGAATCTGTTAAGTTTATGGTACCTCTGCAGTGGCTCGAACCACATACTCACAGTTGTACCTTGAATGTCCTGTTATTTCTACATGCATTATACAGCTGTTGTCCTTTGTCAAAAGTCTAAAGCCTGGTGTAACTCAATACCAGTGTGCTAAAAAACATCAAAAGTGTGTGCTAAAAGGCTGTTTACGCAGGATGAGGTTCAAACCTTTTGAATGTGAAACAAAGACTCAGTGCAAGCGTGCCGTTGTTGCTGCAGGGAGCGAGGTAACTCTATATGATGCCATGTGGCACAGAAAAATACATTTAGTAATGATCTATATCTCTGAGAGCTTGACATTGATATTTGCAAGTGAAGTGCAGTGTGATCTTGTGGTACTGTTATTTTTTATGCACATTTGTAATATGTTGTGAATAACAGACAGAAATGATCTTTAATTATAATCATTTGAAATAACTCTTATTGCATTATGTATTTAAGGTTAAAGTACACAGTATTTTCCTCTTGGGGAATTGTGCCTCCTGTATTTAACCCATCTGGTGCCTCCAGGGACCCATCTCCAGATCTTGAGCTAGACTTGGTCAGGATTACCTAGCTGGAGGATTTTATTTATTGTGCATGTTTTGGGTTGTGCATCCGATGTCTTCACAGAAATATTAATGGTGTTTGTTGGTGTGGGTCTAATAAAAAACAAAAAGTATCTTAGAAGAAAACACACTGAAACAAAAGCTCTAGAAGCAGAAGAAAATAAATCCAAAACAGAAGTGTGTTTCCTTTTAAAATTAATCTTGTGAAAGTCCAGATCATTTTTGAGCCTTTGAACTTTTTCATTCTACAAAATCTGATGTCTTTTAGACATTCTTACATTGAAAATGAATTCATTTATTGTTGTACTGTACCTGAACTACAATGTGCTCTTGTAAACAAAGCCTGGTAAAGACAGCTTGGTGCCTGACCTGGGGTGGTTGTAGCTGACATGAAAATCCTTATACCATAAAAATAATGACCAGTGCACAAGGCTGTCTGAATGCTGCTGTTAAACCGGTGCCTCCCAGCCGTCTCTGAGCTCTGTGACCTCCCTCTGCCCCTGCATGCTCCTAAGATCCAGGTGTGCCAAACATCCGGTCTGAGCAGGGAAAGAGCTGCCTGCTGGGCAAAACGAGATGAACAAAGTTAGAGGAAAAGGTTTACGCCCTTGTAGCGCTCCTACAGAGACGCAGATCTGTGCTTTTGCTTTTTATTTTGGATGTTGTGCAAATGTCACTGACTGGTGTTTGGAATGTGAGCACACCACTGCATTGGGTCTGTTTACGTGTGGGAGTCAGGAGCTGGCCTCCAACAATATTAATGTATGGAGCTGCTTAGGGAGATATTATCAGCCTGCTGATGCTGCAGGGTTCACTCAAGAAAATGGCCTTTTGATCTTCTGGAGATTGTAAGCCTTACATTTACACTACATTCTCAGCCTTACATTCTTAACACACTGGAAGTGTGGAAGTGCATTACTTGATGTCTTGGCAGGAACAATATAAAATTTGTGCTTGATTGGTCAAGTAGTGAAATGGAATACTCTTGTTCCTGTTACTAATCTCCATCTGATTTAATGGGTCATCTTTTTTTTCCCTTCACATTGTTGGTCTATTCATGTGCAGGTATTTGTATTATATTAGTTGTATACTTAGACATTGTGGTTGTCTGATATATAGTTATAATCTGTGACATCTGTGAATATTTTTTTTTTTTGTCTAAAGTGACTTTATAATAGTCTGCTAATGCAGTTTTTATTTCTTTATTTTCATTTTCATTTCATTTCATTTTCCACTGTATTCACTGAGCTACAAATCAAATATGATGTAGAGCAGGGGTGGGCAAACTACGGCCCAGGGGCCATATGCGGCCCTTTAATCTTCTTAATCCGGCCCGCCGACCTTGAAGAACAAAAATAATAATAATAATTTTCAGTGTTTTTCAAAGTAATTTCAATAAATAGTAAATACAATGGGACTTGAAAGAGACATACTTTGTTGTAGAGCTTTGTAATGATTTTCAATTATGGGATATTTTAATATCATGGGACATAATTTCTACATATCCCATGTTTTTTTCTTCTCTTATGAGGTGGATTGCCAAAAAACTCCCATCCATCTGCCCCTGGTTCGGCCCTTCTGTCAAATTTTAGATCCCTTTGTGGCCCTCGAGTCAAAAAGTTTGCCCATCCCTGATGTAGAGGTACTCTAAAACTAACTCATACTAGTGTCTTGATTTGTAGCATGGTAAAGCACCTTTTTGGCCCCTTCCATGGTCCATTTATTATGTCCTGACCTGTGCTCAAACTGGTGAGTTCTGCTTTAAATATAAGGCACAGGCCTCTCATTTCTGCATTTGTCCTTTCTCTCTGCTGAGGGGACATCGGGCGGGTCAGTCACCTGTCTGCAGTGGGAGCCCTGGGGACAAGCGGAAGAGCACAATGAAGCTTGGGTCAGTGTGGGATATTGGAAGGCTGCTATATAAGATGAATCCTTCACGGTGGCAGCGTTATAAAAGCTCATATTTTCACTACATGACCTTGATCTAACACACATATAAACCACAGAGAGAAAAGAGAAGTGCAAACGTGTGGTGGAAAGCATAATATGAGCTGCTGAACTCACACGGCTGCACTGAGATGGAAAACGCTTCTTTCATCTCTAGAACACAGGACGCACATGTAATCAGCTGGCGTGGACAAAAAAGAAGTACAAAAAAAAAGTTGTAATTTTGCAAATGTATTAATCGTGCTGCCCTACTATAAACCATAGACTGTATAGTATAGTAAATGGACATAGCTAACCTGCTAAGCACTGACAGAGTTTGCGGGGGTCAGATGTGGCACTGCCCTCCTAGTGGCTGAAATATGTCACAACATTGAGCCTATAATATGGCCAATACAAATATTAATTTTTTAGAAATGTGTTAATATTTTAAATATGTCAATAAAACATAAAGGTTGCATGAAATAAATGTGAATCTTAATCTGAACCAGGACTGAACCAGGTCTGAATCAGGTCTGAACCAGGACTGAATCAAAACCAAATCAGGTCTAAACCAAGTCTAAACCAAGTCTAAACCAAATCTAAACCAGGACTAAACCAGAACTAAACCAGGACTGAACCAGAACCGAATCAGGTCTAAACCAAGTCTAAACCAAGTCTAAACCAAGTCTAAACCAAGTCTAAACCAGTACTGAACCAGTACTGAACCAGTACTGAACCAGTACTAAACCAGTACTGAACCAGGACTAAATCAGGACTAAACCAGGACTGGACTGGACCAGAAGCAAATCAGGTCTAAAAGAGGTCTAAACCAGGTCTGAACCAGGTCTAAACCAGGTCTGAACCAGGTCTGAACCAGGTCTGAACCAGGTCTGAACCAGGTCTGAACCAGGACTGAACCAGGACTGAACCAGGACTGAATCAGAACCGAATCA